TCATTCACAAAGTTGAAAAGTAGTAATTACTATAACATAGTCCGTTGTACCTGGAAATTCGATGATACATTCTTTCTATAAATTTTTGAGAGATTTTAATGCTGATGCTTAGCAGTTTCCGACAGATTTCTTGCTCTTAGCTGTACCGTCGCAACTTTTATTATCTCAAGCGGCAATAAGCGTTGTTCTAGGTAGTCCTAAGTGATCTGTTAAGGAAATAAAATATATTTTTAACGAGCAAGCACTGGATACGAGTCCATGAAAATAAAATCTTGGAAAACGAAGCAAGTTGTATAACAAGCATATAATCCGAAATATTTCTTTTAATCAGTGTTACTCGTTATAAATATTATATTGTCCTTGCATGGAAGTCTCAAATTACTTATGTTACGTCAAATGTGTTTTTTTTAAACAAACGTAGTTTTTAAACTGATGTCGTAAAGCAACCTGAAAAAAAATATTATTTTTACTGGTTGATGACTTCAGATATGATATTACCTATATTTGGTTTGTAAACAATTATAGAAGAACATTTCCTTAGCGAGTTTTATTTGCGTTTTAACAATGTCAGTTACTAACTATTTGTTATTGCTATGGCAATAAGCTTTCTTTCTAATCTTGTAAGTATCTATTAAAACATAATACTGATGCGATTGGTTTAATATGTTTTGATCATTTGTAAAACTCAGTGTAATAAATGTCGGCGTTCTTTTCCTGCAAACAATTTAGCCCCCCCCCCCAGTGGCACAGCTGTATGTCTGCGGACTTACAACGCTAGAATCCGGATCCGGGTTTCGATACCCGTGGTGGGCAGAGCACAGATAGCCCATTGTGTAGCTTTGTGCTTAATTACAAATCAACAATCAACATCAACAGTAAACAACTTAAAAGTAATATCACTATTATTAATATCTCTAAGATATTATGTTTTCGTGTTAAATTCAATAAGTTGTTGATTTCAGATATACATTAACATAAAACGATGGTTAAAATAGACTTCTAATACGAATTTCGCCTTTTTTGTGTTTTTCTTATAAATGTATATATATAAAATTTTGGTCACAGTTATTACGGACTTTTCCATAAATAAGCTGATTAAACTTCATTTCCATATGTTTAGTTTTTGTTGTTATGTACATATTGTATGTGACCAAAAAAAAACGTGATAAAGGCTTATGGTCCGAATTACAATAAAATAATTGAAATTTAAGAAATTGTTTTCGATACCTTTTAAGCTTTATTTTTAAGATGATGGCAAATGTTTCAACCTGCAACCTCCAATCCAGTATACTATATCACAGATGAGCATTAAGACTAGTTTTCATTGTGTATGTTTTGTTTATTTTTAAGAAAAGGTCAAGAAGTAGGATAGACAACCTGAAAAGAGTCGTTATGGCCTCATTAAACTCCAAACAATAAGCTACCTGTTTGACAAGTTCAGCTCTTAAGAAACAAAAATAAGGAGATTATAAAAACTAGAACAAAGTCCACTATTCTTAAGTAGGTCACATATGAAAGCTCCCACGGAAGTAACATAACGCTGATGTCAAGCGTATAAAGTACGGTTATTACTATACGATTTCTTTTGTTTTGACACAAGAGAATGCGAATAATTATAGTGTGCCACTTCTCAGTGGTCAAAATGAAGAGACTGGAGCTTGAGAAGTGTTCTTCTCGTGATGAAATAATCCTAGAATCTTGGTTAGCTTATATCACTAATCTTGCCAAGTTACAATAGCATTTACAAAATCAACAAGAAACATTATGCTTAGCACTCACTATATAGAGGACGATAACGGGGCAAAACATGCAGAAGTCTTTATTATTTCTCCCCCCGGGGGGGGGGGGCAAAATATAGACTTTTGCATGTTTTGCCCCATTACTGCCCTCTATATATATTGAGTGCTAAGATTCATATATTTAATAACATTCTATTCAAATATTTGAAACTAAAAAATAGGTATTCACAAATTACATTGAAATCAACGAAATAAAAAAAGATACTTGTTTAAAAGTTTCTTGATAACAATAATATATTATATTGTTTTACCTGTAGAATTAACATTTTATGTACTAGTTTGAGCCACAGACAATAATTGTATATCTCTTACTAGTAACTGAAATAATACATTCAAATACATATTCTATTTAAGACGATATATTTGTTTAATATTTTCTAGCGTAAATATAGAAGTAAAGCGGTGTTAGCTTTAATATTCCACTTAACTGCGGTTTTAGTTAATTAACATACTGAGAATTTTTTAAATAGATTATCAACTTTTGAATCAATAAATGGCCAACTATGTGTTGTGAAAACGCATAGTTGATACCCGTACAGAAGTCACAAACAATGAGTAATTGGAAAAGTCGATTTATATTTAGTGCAATATATTATTACAACAAGAGCTGTAATTAGATCTCAAATTGGTCAAGAGATAGAGCTATGAGCTGAAAGTTTGTACTTGAAATAAAAAACAAACAAACTCAGAGCCATTCTATGAGCTGCTATGCCTCGGCTAAAAATATTATTGTAACCTATATTTTCAACGCTTTAATTTATATGTTAGCAGAAGGGCCATGATGTTAAAATCAAGAAAATTTATAATGGTAATCTTAGAATATATAGAATGCTCGGGAATATTAATAACAGAGAAACTTCGCGAAGTGTCCAGAAATAAGGCAACCTTATATGTACGAGAATCAGTGAAGTATTGAGTCAGTTTTCAATTGGAAGACTGCCAGTCATTCAGTGAAGTGTTTGAATCAGTGTTAGTTATTGCGTATATTCAGTAATATTGTGAAAGTAAATTAATTTGTAAGTAGTTGTAGTATCATTAGCGAGGTGTTTCCATGAAACGTCATTTGTAAACTTAAGCCTATATACGAAAGTAGCCTGTAGAAACGTTAAGGAAGAAATAAACTCATCTGTTATTGTTACGTTCGCTAAATAATTTAAACGAATCAGTCCAACGAGAAAACAACACTGGTGTCAGAAATAGAATTATTTTGGTGAAAATAAAATAGAACATTGTTGTTTGTTTTAGATCAAAGCCAGATTGGATCATCTTCTGTGTCCACTGTGGGGAATCGAACCACGGATATTAGCGTTGTAAGTCAATAAACTTATTGCTGTCCTACCAGGGGACATTAGAACATTGACTAAACTTCAATTTTCGAGGTGACCTCACAAGTTGTTATCGAAGATTTATTGGAGTTAATAAAACAGTTAAAAGAAGGTCAAGAAAAAAATAGACAGAGAATTAAAAGAAGATTAAAAGGTATTAGATGTGAACTTAAAGAGGAGTTAAAAGAAAGAGAAGTAATTTTAAAGAATACCTAAGAACAAATGTAAATCTGATTAAAAACAACATACACAAAGTTATTGGAGATGTACAGAGGAATTACAACAACACTGAAAAAGTACAGAACATAAAGGCTATAATGACAAAATTAAAGTACAGAAATATTATAACAGCAAGATCAATAAGATAGAAAGAACACCAATGATGTATCAAAACAGCAGTGGTCCGGAATTTCCAGGTGGTTAGAGCGCTTGACTCTCAATCTAAGGTTCACAGGTTCCAATCCTCGACCCTCCAAACATGCTCGCCCTTTCAGCCGCGGAGGCGTTATAATGTGACGGTTAATCCATTGGTAAAAGAGTATCCCAAGAGTTGGCGGTGGGTGGTGATGACTAGTTGCCTTCCTTCTAGTCTTTCACTGCTAAATTAGGGACGGCTAGCGCAGATAGCCCTCATGTAGCTTTGGGCGAAATTAAAAACAAACCAAACCAATCAAAACAGCAACACCTCTTTCTGGATTTTCCCAAGATTTCCAACCTAAAACATCATATACTACAAAGTATGTAATAGAAGAACATATGTGGTCCACACCTATCATCACCACTTCTGTGCCATCAGCTACTGCAGGACCTTCCTGAACTGCTCCAGCTATGTCACTATTAAATCCAGATCCAGAATTCAACTGGTCAACTCAACAACATTGCCTGATTGAGAAATTAATAGACTATAATGGAAAGATATCATGAGAGGTAGTTCCGGATCAATTCGAAATAATTTTCAACGTTAACAGGTGCAATAGTGAGCGACAAACTATTCGTTTTGTTGCCCATTTAAAATTACCAGCTTTTACAACTTTAAATAACCTTCTAGCTGAAACCCGTTGCAACTATTATCCTTAAGTAGCTGCCTTATCCAGAGTAAAGTTGCGGAACTGTGTACAGAGAAAAGAAGAGACCTTAGCCAAACTTGTGGCAGATTTGAAAAGACTTGCCCCATTAACTGGCCCAGACACTCTTCATAAAATGATAGATTCATTGGTACGTAACCAGTTTGTATATGCATTAACAGACGAAAATATGAAAACTAGAGTGAAGCAAAGAAAGTTTACATTTTTAAAAGAAGGTCTGCAGATGGCGTTGGAACTAGAATTCATTAAAGTCGTGGATAAACATCTAAACACACTATCTCAAAGTTATGGGGTCGTCAGCTCGAGTAGTATTAAAACAGCAACTTCCTCTAACAATAGCCTATAATAATCAAAAGGATTAGTTACATAATTAGTTACACAGAATGGGGGAATTAAACCACAAGACAATGGGTGTTTCAAATAGTACATATTGCCAGGAACTGCAGATAAAAGCTTGTAGAGAATAAAAATTCCTTCCAAAGGATACCAGAAAGAGGGACCGGATATAGATGTGGGAAACCTGACCAGTACACGAAAAGGATGACTCTTCGAGCTCAACCAGATCAAAGGAATATCTTATGTTCATGCTACCATAAACTCATAAATATATGATTGTGAAATATATTACCAAATTTCCTTCAAAAAGTTTGTTTGGTTACTGATTCACTTTCTAGTTTTCCATATAGGACTATACAAGGACATACTGGGACTTTGCCCAGGCCAAGCCATGGTTGCGAGTATTAAATTGGCCTCTTTTTACCATCGAGTATAGTTGCACTTCATTTGTTTCATATTTAGAATCACTACCTTGCTGTAACATGAATTCCTACCGAAAAGGTCATGTTCCTGAGAAAATAACGTAATGGATATTCCTATCAGTAATCAAAGTGTCATGAATTTTGTGTAGATTTCCAACAACGTTGTCTGAGATGCAACCCACGCTTGTGTTTATTCCCAGTTTAGTGTAGTTCTTCTACATTGACCATGATCTTATTTTCATCTTAGCCATCAAACAAACTATTGTTGATTGTTGCTAAATAATTGTAATTTTGATTCACCTGTATATTAACAATCTCCCCCTGCCTTCCAGTGGCTCCGCAGTAAGGCTGAGTGCTCACACCACTAAAAACCGAGTTTCGATACTCGTGGTGAGCACAGCGCAGATAGCCCATGGTGTAGTTTTGTGCTTAATAACAAACAAACAAACTCTTTTTTTCCTGTTTTGTTTATTTTATTGTTTGAATTCTGAGTCCATTTCAGCCTTTTGATTTGGCTATCTTTCCTAATCACATCTATTGAAGGCTCTCCGTGCTGATGTGTGTCTTACAATTTAGATGAAACCTGTACTTACAGCTAGATCATTGATAAGAGCTCTACTGAACTGTCTTGTATCAAAAACGTGCATATCATGAGCTACTTTTGATGAGTTTGAACTTTGCATCTTCTTTCGTTATTTATAGTTTTAGTTTCCCGTACCCGTCTTCAGATCTCTCAATAGCTTCTACTGAAACATATTATCACTTCAATCTATGGCGTGAACTAGCCTTCAGCAATCAAAATTTTGATTTCTACATGTTTCCTATATTAAATTTCTGTTCTGTCTTGGGAGTCGTGAGTGTATTCATTACTCTAGTGCTGGAAATAATATCACTATCTTTACTTTTACAGATATTATGCTGGTGTGGCACTGTTTGATTGATTGAATGACAGCGAGTCACAATGTAAACTGTCAACACTTATTGTACGCCGATTCAATTAATTTTATTGCGATACAGGAAGACCAGTCTCATTTTTTTTTTCATTTCATACCCATTTTATTCACTGTTTTTATAATTAATTAATTCTAGCACTATAATTGTATTATGGCAACCCGGATTAAAGTACCTATTTTGTATATTTTATAGTTCTTCACTCTAGAATTTCCGTTCAAAGAACAAGACACACTTGACAAGAGTGATAGTTTAGCGATTTTCCACCTACGGTATCGGCCCGGCATGGCCAGTTGGTTAGAGCATTCGACTCGCAATCTGTGGGTCGCGAGTTCGATTCTCTGTCCCACCAAACATGCTCGCCCTTTCAGCCGTGGGGGCGTTATAATGTGATGGTCAATCCCACTATTCGTTGGTAAAAGAGTAGCCCAAGAGTTGGCGGTGGATAGTGATGACCACGTTTTTGGGGCATGATGGCTAACTAATGAATGAATATTTGCTGTAAAATTTTTATCAATATTATAAGTGTAACTACAAGTTTGGGCGCCAATTTGGATTTCATTTCTTTAAGTCGCACGCTCAATCCTTTTTTGGTCGCACCTTATTTTCATACCTAAGGTGTTTTTTATTAGATTGTAGATAACCAAGAGCATAGTATGATCTGAAAATTAATAAGTTTATAAGTAATGATAAGAGTAATATAGAAAAACGAGGTAAATTAAGACGTTGTCAACTGGAGATGATAGCCAACTGTCATGAGAATCAAAAGGATTTCTAGATAAACTATCAAAGAGTCATAAGTAGTACTGACATACTTTTAATATTCAATGGGTACTTTTCTTGCAATGCTCTATTTATAACATGGACGATCTACTGTCAATATTATTAGTGAGCGTTTCTCTGTAATAGATAAAATTATGTCGGTTTTAAACGTTTTACCACAGACTTCAAGAATTCTATCGTCACACATGGCAACGGAAGAATTTTCTGAAAAACAGTAGATGTCATGGTAACAGCGACTTACTTTCTTACCACCTGTAAATATCTATGTTTTTAATGAAATAACTAGGGGGAAAAACTGTTTTGTGTGTTTACGTTTTGTTCTTTTTCTTCTCACTTTTAGTTTCGGTACACAAGTTTCTTGTAGGATCACATGATCTGGAAGATGTACCACCCAGAACCTCATTACTAAAGGAAAATCTGGTCCTAGGTTGTTACTACAGACACCGTTATGTTAGAAATAGAGATATTTATATTAAATCGATGCGTAATATTAGTTTTTGTTGTATTTTAGGCAACATGGGCCCAGATAAATGAATTGACGCCAATCACCGCAATGCCGCAGATCACCACTTTAGATGTCCGGTGTGAGAGGACTGGTATGACCGTCAATGTCCAGTTTGACAGGCCTTACAATGGGATAATTTTTTCTAAAGGATACTATAGTATCCCCAGTTGTCAGTAAGTACAGAAACTACCTTTTCTTATTGTACTAGAATAATGCATATCAGGTTTCTTTTAGAGCAAAGCCACAGTGAGCTATCTGCTGTGTCCACAGCGAGAATCGAACTTCGGATTTTAGCGTTGCAAGTCAATAAACTTTCTGCTGTCCCACCGGGGGACGCATAACAATGTATAAACACAAAGTTATTTTACGATTAAGCTTGTTATTTTGAAAACTTTTATTCTATAATTAACATCACAAACACATCGGTGAATGTGAAGTGTTGTTATTTTACGATTAAGCTTGTTATTTTGAAAACTTTTATTCTATAATTAATATCACAAATACATTGGTGAATGTGAAGTGTTGTTATTTTACGATTAAGCTTGTTATTTTGAAAACTTTTATTCTATAATTAATATCACAAATACATTGGTGAATGTGAAG